ATCTGCTGCTGAACAAAGCCATCACAAGGAGCTTTTTGGTATAGCACAAAAAAAAGATAATCTGTATGTAAACAATGACTATGTGAGTAGAGTGTTGAAGGTCATGTCAAGAAGTAATCTTAGCTACCCTCACATGGGCTCAGGATTTCTGTGGGATAGCCTTTTAACGCTTTATGTGCAATCCAGCATGTGCAAGGGTGTTCCTCCATCATAAGAGAAAAACAGAATGACTGGAGCCCTGCCTGCTCTGTAATGGCAAACGTTCTTGCATATATTAGACAATTGTAGGTAAAATAACAGGAAACTGACCACTGGATTAGACTTTCTCTTGTGCCAAAGAAAGGAGTTGTCTGATACAGGAGACAGCTCTTGCGCAATGTGCTTATGATGAAACGTGAATAGGATTGCAAGTGTTTGCAAGTGCAACCACCCACTGGTAGCCATTTAAAAAAAATATAGGTTTAAGGCACGTCTGTGTCTGTTTCATTTTTCACACCCCGAATCTACTTCCATTGTTTTATTCTGTGGATGGTTCTAAGCTCCTCCCATCAGAAAAACACTAGCAAAGGTAAGGACATATAAAAAAAATTTTTTTTAAAAACACTGACTTTTTACTTCACTAGCACTGCGACTAGGACTGTGCAATTAAGTTTAATTTTTGGCTTTCAACAATTACTATACAATTATTGTGCTTCCTTACTTTGCCTTTCAGCACAGCCCCTCCAATCTATATGGCCTCTCAGTCAAAATTTACTCCCCATGAGAGAGTGGCAGATTTGGCTAATTTCACATTTATATATCTAGTTAGTCAGTTTTGTCTTGTGATAGACTGGCGAACTGTCCAGGGTATACCATGCTGCTTCCACTATGAAAGCTCGGACAGCCCCCTGAAGCAGAAGAAAATGGAATGACAGATAAATCTCACTTAATTATAATAAGTTTTAAGCAATCAACTTCAATAAGAGAAAAGTTTTTTTTTCTAATACACTGCTTCTACAAAATCTGTCCAACTGTGTTAGGTAATTGTGAGTTTAATACTGACCAAAATTACTGTAATTATGATTTTCACACAATGATGCAGATCTAAACGCAGCTCTCGTGGGTGAAAGGACCTCTGTTTAACCCACTACACCACCAAAATGGAATTTGTTGTTTCTCCCGATGAGGTATGAAAAGGATGTGTGATTGGCTCAACTCTCCTGTTATGAAATAGGTTTTCTAAAGTCAAAAACAGAGCCAAGAGGAAGTCCACAAGTCTACATTCACCTCAACTACTGAATTCAAATATGCTAAGAGGTTAACATAAATACTTGCTCCATTACATCATAAAAATACTACCTCCTCCTACTGCTACTTCCTCCCACTTCAAATGGTTCTACAAGAGAAAATTTAATCCAGCAATTGAGGTCTTATTATTATTTTACCTGATATTTTGTAATACTGCAAGAGAGTTTACTATTACAAAGCAGGGAGAGCTCCACTCCCTCTGCGTTTTCCTCTCCTGATGGAGGAACACCCCTGCACATACTGGATTGCACATAAAGGATTAAAAGGCTATCCCACGAAAATCCTGAGACCCTGTGAGGGTAGCTAAGAGTACTACTTCATACATAAGCACCTCACATGTGAAATCACTAAGGTTAATAAAAAGGGGGGCGGGCAGATGTTATTAAAATGTAATTTCACACAAAACTCCCTCAATTACACTTACATAACGACACATTTTACCAACTTAGAGGATCTCATTTCAAAGCCTTTATCGTGGCATCAGATTACATAACAGATGATTCAGAGTAGAAGTTGTGCTTGCTATGCATCAGTGTGCCAGAGAGACCAAACACTGTCCCTCACAGACTGTCCATGCACTTCATCCAGTCATCATCGTCTTCTCAATGCTACCATCGCACCTGTACACATGAAGAGGTACCTGCCAAAATGCGTTTTATTTTTTTATGCAGATTATACCTTTACCTGAGATGCCGTGACTCAACCCAAAAGCCCGTGATTCAGTGCGTATCCCGTTCTGTGTGTGTGTGTGTCTACAAACACAGAGAGCCCAGCATCACTCCCCATCAACAACAAACACGTCCCATCCAAGCTGAGAGAACGGCCCACATCAACACGACTACAAATGCAGAGAAATGCATGCCACCCCTGCAAATCCCTTTTCTCATGCTGCTCCTATCCACTCCAATATAAATTTAAAGGCTCTTCTTCTTCTTCTTCGGTGTCATATTTTATTCAATGTACAATTATGCGAAGTCAGCGAGCAGGCTGGTCACGCAAAGTGAAGCTCCCCCTCTAAATGTATGGGAGTGTGTAACACATTAGCAGCTGGCAGCTTTAAGCTGTTTTTACTTATAAGAGAAAATAAATAAACAGCTCGTCAGTAGGCTAATTAGCAGCAGTCGCAGTGCCGTTACCGTCGCACCTGCTAAATGAGTGCCCGCGGGCGGAGGTGGCGAGGAGATGCCTGCGGTCCTGGTCACATTTTTTTAAGGGTGGAAATAGAAGGGGATTCACAGCAAAACACCAACAAAAACACGTCTGTCTTAAAAGCGAGGGTTGATTCAAATGTGAGATTTTTTCCTTACCTGTACAGCTCACGAGAAGCAAGGCTAAAAAAATATCCCTTGCCTGGACCATCGCAACTCCCGAGTAACGTGAACGTTAAACGGTGTAGCTAACGTTTAATCTCCGCTCGGTCCCTACGGTATTGCCCTCGGGTTTCCTGCCCCTGTTAGCGACTGTTCATCCTAATCTACACAACTGAGCTCGTCGGGAATAAGTGTCAGCGGCAGCGTTGTTGATGACAAGCAGCGGTCAGAGATTAGCAGCGATGAGCGCCAGTGCACAGTTCAAAGTCTGACTGACAAGCGGAGCCTTTTCACACACTTGAATTACTCCGCAGAGCCGGAATAAAGCACCTCCTGTAACTAGTGCGTGGGTATCAACGGGAAGCAGGGGAACAGCCGCAAATAATCATAACAATGAAAAATTAAAGTTAAAATATAGCTTATATAAGATTGTTTCAAAATATGGTAAAGCAAATAAAAGTGTGAAATGCAGAGCTGTTTAGTGTATTTGTTTTATATTGGTGGCCCCCTACGGTACGATACATAACAAGGCACCCTTTATAAGCAATTGTAATTATTAACTTTAAGATTTTCTTTTAGTTTTACATTGCTTTAGGGAAAGATGGTTGTTGGTCGGTTATACAGATTAATTTTACTGAATTCAAATAATTGATTTCTTTTGCAGCTTGCTATGCGCAAGGATTTTCTGCTTTGCCAGTCTTATTTGATAGCAAACTGAATATATTTTAACTCTGGACTGGGCAGATAACACAAATAATAATTATAAAAATAAATGTAAATGTAAATAAATATGTAAAAAAAATGCTTGGGACTAGGATATTGTGATAGTTATGTCTTAATATTGTGAGTTGTACATATTGGAGCCAAAGTCATCACCATATTTTTCAACCTTACTTGTAAGGAATTGACATTTCCCTTTGACTGTAATCATGGTACATAAAAAAGGCTGTAGAGAATCTAAACTAAAATTCATTAACTACACAACCATTAACGGATTGCCAACATCTGTAATTGCATAGGCTAATTATGAAATACAAAGAAAAAGCATCAGTCAGTAGGAATTTCGCAACATGTGAATGCCCAATTTGCTACTGCTGCATTAGTTAAAGATTTATTAATCATTAAAGAGACACCGTTTAGTATCAACTATTGTATTTTGACTGCACACCAAAAGAAGACCTTCAAATGTCCTTTTTTCCCTATTTTCTCCAAATCAGTTTTGCTTCTTGAAAAGTTTATTTTCCTTCATGTTAGTCCAAATGCAGTTTCAAAGCTTTTATCTCACTGCCACAAATATAATTTTGGTGGAGAATTATTAAATCCATCTGTCGAACTGAGACTCCTCTGGTCTTTATTAAACCCAGCCCGCTATTCACAGAAATAATAGGGCTTGTAGTACAACTGTGGCGACAAAACCACTGATATCGCCAGATAATCTAATTACAGTGTTATACACATTAGCTTATAATTTACAGCAAAATATTGATCATTTGGATCTCTTTCAACTCTGTTTTGAGTTACACATATTTGAAATGCTGCATGTTAAACCACAGGCATTTGCTTTGACATATTTAAAGTACTACTCACCCCACAGGTTACCCCCACAAATGACCAAAGGGAGCCTTTTATATAGGTTGTAAAGTGAATGCCACCTGAGAGCGATGCAGGGTAAAACATGCTTGTTTGCTTGTTTGCTTGCACAGCAGGGATGATCAGTAGCCATGAGCACCACCCTCTCAGGCCTGAGAGGGCGGTTTGCTTTATATTTTCATTGCTAGCCAGCAAAGACATGCAGTTGGCCACAGTGTAATAAACCCAAATCAATCTGTGGGCTCACTGAAATTGCACTGTGGTTATATCTGGCATATTTGCCTTAACCCACCCTTTTACAAGCAATTCCCTCCAAACATACCACCACTGGGAGTCCGGCCTCAGAATTTTCACTCCCTTCCTGCTTTGCTCTTTCCATCGACTAATAAGCAACTTGTGAAGGAGGGTGGGCGTGGAGTTTGGGTTTTTATTTTTAGGTTATCTTGTTAACGTAGGAGCTCAGTATCGTATGAATTCCCAAGAAATCTTCAAGTGGTTTCTTTTTAAATGGAGAAATCTACTGGCTGAGTAATTATTTACGATTATGAGATCTCATAGGTTCAGTCAGCTAAATTCCTTGGTGTTAATTAATTAAAATGCCTAACTGGAGACATTATTTTCAATTAGTCTGAAGAGAACAAACAACATCATGCCATCTGAATAATCTGCCCAGCATTAACAGTGTCGTGCTTTTAACTCCGCATTCCTCTCATCTTCTGCGTGGCACCATACCATGAACTGCCACATGAACTGATCTTCCTCATAAAAAAATCATTTGGTAAAAAAAAAATTGTGCTCCTGTGTTCCCACTGAGCTATCAACTCAATTTTTGTTAAACTCAAATATGCTGTCTGTTTGTGGTAATTCGCCCATAACGTGCTCTTTTATCTACTCAAATTACCCAGAATCCCTCTCTAAACCATGTCAAGACCTATTACGTTTTCATCTCTCATGCTAAAAAGCATACAGTTGTAATAGTAGTAGTAGTATTAATAGTAGTAGTATAATACTGTACATGCCTAAACTTTGATACTGTGCTTCATTCTCCTCACTTTTACACAGAGAAGCGTAGGATTAAATAC